AAGGTAAGGAGACACATTGAGACCCTTGTCTAGCCTTTAATTTATCAAAGCATATAAATCCATTATTTTACTCTAATATAGAAAGTACTAAATGATATTAAGCACTTTTTAAAAGAAAAAAAGGTATGGTTGCATTTTTAAATTAAGTCAGAAAAATTAAATTTGCAAATGAAAATGCCATGTAGAAGAAACATACCATCACCCCTACTGTCAATTTCGGAAAGAATATTTGCACCCTTTTCCTCCTTTTTCCTCTTCTACAGCTCACCAGTAAGCAGAAGAATTGCTTCCATCCTAATACATCACTTCTGTGTATGTGAATATAATTTTCTGAGCATGAAGTCCATGACTTTTTTTGAGAATCAACTTCCTCACAACATAGGTGCTTTTACAAGAATCTCAAGCACATATTTACCCCAGCTCATAGGTTTTACACTACCTCTGATTAAGCTCATCACTGGTCAAGTGTCTGGAATCAGTATTAAGAAATATCTGTTTATCAATTTGATGGATGTGATTAGTAATTCTGACTTAACCTCTTGGATTGTACATACTGAAGACTTAAAAGAAAAAAACAAACCCAAACAATAACCCAACAAAAATGCAGAACCAGTTATCTTGACACATTAGTCGCAGACAAATGGAAATGGCAGGACACAAGTCCAGTAATGAGTGTCATAGTCCAAAGTACAAAATCACAGCTAATTTGTAAAACTGTTAACACACATAACATTTACCCTTCTATTTAAAAATCTGCATTATTCAAAAGGTTTAAGGGAAAAGAAGCCAATAATACTTGATGATTCATTAGTTTGAGAGGCATACATGCTCTTGTTAAGACAATTAAGGCTTTGGTCACAAATCCTTTGGTTTTATTGATTTGGCAGAAATCATAACCCTGGCTCATTTTATACTTAACACTGAAGAGCTCTGAACAAAGGGAAGACAGGTTAAGCAATTATTCTGTGATATTTGCATTGAACTGATCCTGCAGTTTAAAAACACGATCACTGACCAAATGCTGTATTATGATGTAATGTGGCTACAGCAAGTGCCATTCATCCTGCACCAAAGACAAATAGAAAGCTTCTGTATTATTCTGTATTTCTGAAAATTTGATAGGACAAAATGTAAAATATTTTTTTGCAAGCTCCACAGAGAAAAGCCTTATATGTATAGATACTCTGATATATTATCTTTCTAAATAGTACCCTTTCATAGATGGAACTGTTATTTACAGAGAATGAAGCTTTACTTTCTTTCTAAACACCCTTTCAAATATACTGTTGCAATCTGCCTCGTAATCAGTAGATTTTCCTTATGAAAGAGTTCTATATTTTAACTTCGTTAAGCCCTCTGCTCTGTTTTGAACACATGAAAACCTTTTAATGGAGATGTTCCACTCAGAAGAGAGAGGCTTCAGAACCATCTTGAACAGTTCTCTATAAACACTAGCTCAAAGTCCAAGAGATTCCAAAAAGAAAAACTAACAATAAAATGCTGGGCATCATCAGGAATATAACTGAGGATGAACATAAAATATGTTGCTGTCACTATCCACTGCATGCAGCACTCTCCCTATCTGCAGGACATAGTAGAGTCAGAAAAAGCAAGAAAATTACTAAGGACATGGTGCAGCTTGAAAGACAGACAGAATAACCACCTAGACAGAAGGTTGCCTGCTGAAATTCATTTCAACTTGGATTAAAACAAGAAAATTTTTTATGCAAAGGGTATTGATTGTATCACTTACTGCCAGAGACAGAGTTGGAGGAAACAACATGTTCAAGAAGAGAGTAAACAAAACCACGGACAAGTATATCCAAAAGCATATACGAAGGGAGATAGGTGGGGATGCACTCTCTGTAGTCCTTCATCTGTTAATTGTGGATGTTAGGGCAGGAAGCCACAGTTAGTGACCAGGCTTGAGGCCTTCTTCCATTGCAAGTGCTAGACAGGGAGCAAGATGGACTTACAGATGAGTTTTGTTAAAAAAAAAAAAAAAGAGATTCAAGCTGTTTTACAAGTAAGGCAGTGAATGTCATGAATAGTCTTTCTAATTATGGAAACTTTTTATATGCATATATGTATATTTGTGCTTTCTGTTCAAAAATCATATATACACTTCAGGAGTAAAGAAGGGTTTAAGTCATGCATAAGCAGACTTCAAAGATGTTTTGGGGTTTTTCCTACCATTAAAAATGACAAATAAATTAATGAATAGTGATATATAAAAATACATTGCAAACAATTTCATGTATCACCCTTTTCAACTTACATAGTTCTTTAATATAGTTTTTCCATCTTTTATGTTCACAATATATTAAATATGACTATCAATCTAAAATGTTTAAAAAAATATCATGGAATATTTCAAGAAGTTTATCTGAAATTCTTAATTTCAATTATTTTTGCTCTAGAAGCCTACTTCTAAAGGCTATTTTCAGAGCACCAAAAAACACAATAGTGTTGTCAAATCAAGAAAAACTGAATGTCTTAAGTTAATTCGAAATGTTTTTAAACTATCCAAATTCTTTTTATTTGCAGAAAATATTTGGATAAAAACAGAAAACAATATTCAGGACACAGATGCTGTTCAAAACCAGTAAACATTATCATTGCATCCCCCAATTTATTTGTCATGGATTATTAAACTAGTCTAAACTTCTTGTGTTAATAGAGTTCTGAATAAAAGAAACTGGCACTGTTCAAAATGTTTGTCATTAGAGGTAGGACCTTCTTAATTTTACTTCACAACTAAAAATACTCATCACACAAGTAAGGGCCTTTACTAACAAAATAACTAAACTTTCATTTTACCTAAAACTTCCTATACTATTCAGCTCCAACATTTTAAAACTGTAGCATATGGTAAGCAGCTTGTCAGAAAAAGGGGGATACTGAAAAATTTAAAACATTAAATTTAAAGAAAAAGACTTCTCTTCCCTACTTCTCTGTAATGTCACTGTAAATCTATCTCAATTTGAACTTATTTAATTCTTTTTGCAGGATGCACCAATCCTTTGATGTCCTCAAATAATCCTAGTTTGTGAAACTAGCTGGAACCCTTACAGAAATGTCCACAGAATGAGTCTTGACTTAGTAATTAGCATAATATTTGATGTGTTGGCATCTCATGAGATGTCACAGTGATGAGTAATAGGTTCACACTAACCCACAGCTTCATTCACGTTCTGCAAGAAAATAAGAAATTGTGTGCTTGTAAGGTTCACAGATAACAATTTGTGAAGACTGGTTCATGTCCAATACCACAGAAATTATATTAAGTTTAGATATCTTTTAGAGAAGTAATTAAAAACTAAATATTAGAGAAACTGGCAATATTTTAATAGCACGAATCAAGTTGAATACTGTGTTAGAGTTTTACTCGTGTGATCAAAGTTTCTTCTAAACACACCTCCTTCAGAAACAGTTTTACAGGCATCAGCTGATGTGTGCCAAACAGGAGAACAATTGGGAAATGTGCCTGCAGCTGAAAGAATTGGTCTTCATGGTTGATGATACTTTGGGGTTTATTCTTCCTATGCTGCAGAAGGAAGAAGCCACAACCATTCTGAAGAATGCACAAAACCTGAAATTTCAGATTTTCCACTCTGCCACTCCCTCAGCAAGACAAAAATCATTGACACCACTTAGAATCAAGAGCCTCTTCATCTTCTGCTAGAGATCTGCGTGACAAAGTTTTCTGGTGATGGTACTCAGGCCACTACTGGAACATTCCAAATGATACATGAAACATGAAATCACTTGGCTGGAGAACAGGTTATCCTCTAGGCCTCATATACAAAATAATGGGTGAAACAGAGGGAGTCTCAGAATAGCCACCAGTCAAGATACTTTGCTTTAGGAACCCACAAACACAGGTTCACAAGTTAGACTTGGTAAGTGCCAGAACTTGTTATATTCATATACATGTTGTTCCCATTGACTACTAATTAATAGCTGCCAGAAAGACAGAAACTTCTAACATCAGCAAAATTTTCCAGATCATAATTTTATAAACTTTTTCTGGCTTTTGAAACCAGCTCTAAACACAGTACTATAAGAAGAGATATATAAAATGCAAAAAAGACCATGTCTGGTGTAATTTACAGCAAGAATAAAGCAGAATTATTTGGCAAAAATCAGGAAAAAAGGTATTATATGAATAGAAATAATATGTCGAGGTCAGCAGGCACACAAAAGGCATTTGGGGAGTTACTTTTAATAAGGGGGTTATGTGCACTTTGGAGGAAGCAGTACCACTAGTTAAAATGTACACTTTAGGTTAGTCTTCTCTTAGGAGTTAATAGGGAATTAATCATGTGTACACCAGGGGAGAGTGGTTTGATCAATACTGAAACTATAACCTTCACTGAGGCAACATATCTAATAAGTACATCTTGAATAAAATTCCTTCATGCACTGACTCATTTTTCTTAAAGCATGAAACCAATGAGCATTAGAATCTGTTTGGAGTGAGGGTGATCTCAGCAACACTCCTGACTGGTCTAACCAAAGTGTACCCATCTATACATCCACAGATAGGCAATAAGCACATCTAATACATTATTAACACAGAGTAAAAATAATAATGGATCAAGAATTAAACTTTCATGAGCAATATGAAGGTCTGGTGTAGTGGCTATAAAAGAAAAAACAGACCTAAATCCCATATTTATCTAAATTAACACAGAAAGTTAGAGATTTCTTTCTCAAGCAAATAACTAGGATGAAAAAAATTATACGACTTGAAGCTTTCCACTGTGAGAATAAATACAGTAAAGAGTGCTGAATATTTATATTTTTTACAGAATTTATAATAATTGAAGCCTTAGATCAAAAAGTATGAGATAAGCCCAAAGATCACTTTTGATTCATTCTACCTTTTGCATTTTTCTTTGATTTTTAATGGCTGAACGGGGTGTCAAGTTGGAGTAAAATACTGGCAAGAAAAAACATGCTATATTTAGTATATCCAAATGAACTTTACAAATGCATAGGTAAATTATTCCCCAAGTCGTCTATCCAGTAGTCAGAGGATTTAACCTATTGATTTACTTACTGTGGGGCCTGCAACTTACTCTAATAAACTAATAAACCTTCTAAATGCACCTCTTATATCATGTAATGAGCAGGGGAAAAGAGAGAAGTGTGAAAGTTGAAAGACGTTTGCAAATCAGAAACACAATAAAGCTGTGGGATTTTTAAGCACCTCCCCTACTTTCACACCTTTGCAAAACTATTTCAGCTAATGCAGATTGTTTTGGTGGGACTGATGTAGTGCAGGCAGCTGATGTGCTCTGTATTTTTTAAAGGAATGAGTAGACGAACAAAGATAACCAAGAACTAATGCTTCTCCTAATTCAAGAGAAGCATTTGGTATCTACTTGTTTTATTGTACCAATGCTGCAGTTTAGAAATACTGCTTTTGGTACATTTAATTAAAAAGCTCCTTACATTTGCCAGACCTCTGGCACCAACCACCAGCCAACTATTTCCAAGTGCTTACCAAGGAATCCACTGCTGGGAATAATGACTTTGGCACAACTGTGGCTCTTGCTTCTGTCTGATCGCCCTGTGTTTTGTGCAAGGACAGGTGAAGTGCTCTTTTGACAGCAAAACAGCAGAAATTCAGGTCTGGGTCTTAAATCAAACAATGAAAATGTTAGTTGAACTGAATTGCAAATTGTGGTGATTTATCTGCTTCTATATTAACAGCTAAGACAAGGCAGAAAAATAGTGTAGAGTGGACAATCAAGGAAAGGAATCACTATGACTTTCTGAAAAAGAAAGCTGTTCATAGTCATAGTCACTGCTTTTAGGGAATGCAGACAAAGACTTCACCCTCACACCACCTCAGGCAACTCATATTTACTATATAAACCAAAAGAGTTCGACATAGAGAAAAGAATATCTGGAGAATGTGTGAGGAATGGGGGAAAAAAGTACTATTGTGGTTTAAAGAAGAGATACTTTTAATAAAGTACAATGGGTAAAAGTGGACTTGAAAGACAAATTGTTAAGTCACAGTTTACCATTTCAGAGAAATATATGCATCAGAACCATATTACTTCAATGTCTTATTTTATTGAAATTTTTATTACATAATTTTCACATGATCTTTATGGTAGTGCTGCTTGGGAAAGCGGTGAACAGAGATTTTAAAAAGATACTTGCAGTATATGTAAAAACTAAGATGACGACTGCAAGCATCTAAGCAGAACTCCTTGGGTGGGTGATTTGTCCTTATGAGACAAATGCCACTAGGCAATAAGTGCTCCAGTTCTTCAAATGTTTATATTCATGATTTAAATGCTTATATTAATCCTCTTCAATAATTCTTTAATGTCCAGTTGACCCAGAACGGTTTCTTTGACACACTCTTAAGAAGGGGCATGGCTCAGTGCACAGGGGGAAGATGCCCAGATAGCAAGACAAGTCAGCTGCAATTCGTGAGCAATTCAGATCAGTTTTAATCGTAGAGTGGTTTGGGACTAGCAGGGACATCTTCACCTACACCAGGTTGCTCAGAGTCCTGTCCAACCTGACTTTGGATGTTTCCAGGCATGGGGCATCCACCACCTGGGAAATCTGTTCCAGTATTTTGCCTCCCTCATTGCAAAAAATATTTTTTCCTTATAACTAATCAAAGTCCTGTGGCAGTGTTACAGGATAAGCAAAGAGGTAATGCTCCAGTAGCAGATGCTGCCTAAACTCATCAGCCAAGAAGGAAAGGGCACTCTCACTGGTTCTTTCAGGCAAACAGACACATGCCATGGCCTATTTTTCACAGGCCAGGGCAAAACCAGCTTTCTGCAATAAGGAAGACAGCTGAACTGAGCCGTGTTAATCAATTATGTAAGTACGAAAAGTAGAAAGTAAAAAATTAAATGGAGAGAAAAAATAAACTGTGGCCAAAATTACATTATTTTTAAATATTTGTGCTGAAACTACTAATAAAGTAGAAAACTAAATGTCAAAAGATTATTATCCTGACAGTGCCCAATCTAGTAGGGTTTTCAAGCCCATGATTAGCTTCAGTATCTTGTGTTGTGAAGAGCTTGGCTTGCAAGTTGAGGTTAATAAGTGCAGTAAGAGATGCAACGACCTAACTGCTCCTGTTTTCTCAGCAAACAGATGATAAAGAGTAATTATCATTCACTGATAACTGAGTGTCTCTCTTTTTAGATCTGGTATTCTCCATAAACTGATTTTGTACTTAGAATAGAATTTTCAAGAAATCAGTCTGTCAACAAAATATGGTCTTGTTAATGCAATACTTTAGCTTGTAAACAACTTTTCTACTTTTTCCCTATTTTAGATTGACTGAATTATGTAAATAACATCACATATATGATTAATAGTGAGCTATTTACCCAGGGACTTAACCTCTGTTGGAAAGCTATAGACACTTAAAATTCAAAATCACTTTTGGAAAGCTATAGAAACTCCTATGTCTTGAAAATGGGACTGAAGTAATTTATCAACAATGAAGTAATACAATGAAGGCAAGGAAAAAAAAACATAAAATCACCTGTAAATCATTATTTCAGTGTTTTCAGAAATTATGTACAATTTAGTATTTAAAAATAGAAAATCCTGATATCCAGGGATTTAATTTCATTTTGGCCTTATCAAGGGCAAATGTCACTCAGAAGTTGGAAGAACGCAACAGGAGGAGAGGATGAAGATTTTCAATAACTGCCAGCAGCGTGTGCACTACATGAGAGATCGGGGTCCTGACCAAGTGTTCACTGTATATTCAATTCTCAGCAGTTTTGAGAATACTTAGATCATGTTTCTCTCCTCCACTTGAGGAATGAACTAAATACCCTCTACTCCTTAGAAGGGTGAGAAGTGTGGAAAAATGTATTCATTTACACTCAAAATTGTACTTTTTCTTTCCTTTTTTCATCCACAAGTTCATAAACTTCTCTGTCTTTCAACTGCTTTTTTAAACCTTTAAAGCTTGGCAAAGAGATCAATGCACTTAAGAAAATCACTAAAACGTTAAGTCTGCTTTTTCAGAGGGCCATTTTGATTCTGATTAGAATTTCTTTAAATGCAAGTACAAAACCTGTGGAAAATTAGTCAAAATTATTCATTGGTAGAAAGCAATTGGAGACCCCTCATTGCCAGAATCACAACCTTCTTAATTTATTTCAAACATGATATTTAATAAGACATCTCAAGACATCTGTTTGACTTGCCCTCCTTGTTTTGCAAAATCTGTATGCCTGAATACATAGAAGTAACACATTAAACACAATCAAAAGGCCATAAAAGTACATCCCCCACCCCTTCCAAATCTCCCCTTAATAAAGGGCTAGCATTTAATCTCAGTTTACACTTGGATCTGATCATTCCCAAACAGTGCAGTTCCACATAGCTTAGAAGAGTTACTTAGAACACAGTCTGGTTACAGACCTTGAAGTAAAACAACCTCCTTTGCCCGCAGAGATTTAACCCTGTGTGTGCCAGCTATTCCACTGTCTGATGGCCTATGAGCCAGCTTTTCATCTTGTAGGTGTTCTTCCTTCCCTTCCCTGTGCTAATGTGAAGAAAGAAGGGGATATTGGACACTGATTTATGGGAGAGAGTTTTTGTGCCTTTTATCCAATTACAAGATGATGTGAAAGACTAAAATGCAACTTTGGCAATGGGCTCAATTCTTCTTTAAGCCAAATTCCCTGACTATTGGGTTATAGAAGCAGATATATTTTTAGTCCATTCCTATGGCCTAATACATCATTGATTACCTTCTGTAGAGAACTGATTTGAGCATATGAGCTAAACTCTAGGATTTTCTCTAAAAAACAATGGCATCTACACATTATCAGTGACTGATTAAAAGAAAGTTATGAGCTTTACTTCATTATTTCATTTTCAAGAGCAAAGCACAGATAGGCCCTTTCAAGGAAAGGTTTCTGATGCTTCTAGTCCTTAGTTATCATTGCCTTAGAAAAGAAAAATTTGACAGGCAACACTGTCAAATTGCCATACAATTTTAATCCTTATCCCTACACTGCACCCCCCTTCCCCCTAAAATATATGGGGGCCCAGACAGCAAATTCCTCATTCTTAGGACCAGGTGGCTCTAAATTTGGCGTTGCTGTAGCTGGTGCAGCTCATGTCTTATTCACAGAGTAGGGTGACATAGCAATAACAGTCAGGTATAAACTGACACATGTCTATGCATAAGACTTCTGAAAAGGTTTCAGTGACTCACCTTTGTTCAGTTCTCCCATCTGGAGTCAGCTCTCTCCAGGCTTACAGATGATCCTTCCAGAGCCATGTAAATCCTGAGATTAAGAAGCAGCAGTTTTTCTCTTTGTCCATTATTATTTTACAGTATAAAAATCAGAGCCTGGCTTTATTAGAGTCACCCTTTGTCCCTCATCCCTCTTTCAGGGTGGAGTGAGAGAGGGAAAGACAGTAATTAAAAAAGACAAACCCTAGAAATCAAAAGTGTAACATTTCCCACTGTTAACTTCATGAATTTATATTTTACCAAGCAGAAAAATACATATTGAAACACAGCCAACATTTTTAATCTTAACTCTTGTTCTAACTTAATTTTGCTTTAACGTTCTAACTGCAGGTGTTTGGAGATTTTTTCCCCTCACCAATTTAACTGCATGCTTGTTGCATCAGATCAACTTTGCTGAGCTACCGAGTTCCATTACACACACTCACAAAAGTACAGTATCACCTCATAAAACACTTCCAAGCTTCATCATCTGAGTAAAGATATGACAAGGCTGTTTATCAGTAGGTAATAAGACAGATAATTTAACTGTACAAGCTCTAATTGGTCTAATTCACTAACTGACCTCTCACCACTTGATTCACTAGTACAATTGAGCTCTGATAAAGCCTTTAATTGTAAATTGCACACAGCTGTGAGCTGCTTCTCACGCTGGCACAAAAACACTATCATCGACTGTTTCATCTCTGCGACCTGCTAATTTGGAGCATATGTAACTGTTTTTAATGCTGAAGGCTTGACATACCACAAACAGCAGATGTTGCAGCTGCCCCTGAGACGCTTTATTTAATTCAATTACGTCTTTTGGAGATATGTAAAAAAGCTAGGCGAGATGAGAGAGGGCAGGAGAATGTTAAAAATGGAGCCCCTGGTTGAGGCCCAGGTGGCTCGATAGGCAAATGATTGGGTGAATGTCTAAATGATCTTTTTAATTGAGTAGACTGACGGCTAATCAGGGTCATGAAGTGTTATCACACTGATGAGCTGAGTGGAGCCCTGGGCTGCTCTGCAATTAATGCTGCTTTTGTGAAAGGAGAAAAAAGGAAGATAATGTATACCATCTGGCAATTGTTTATGATAAAAGCAGCAGTTTGCTACAAATTCAAGTTAAATGCTATTCATAACATTATTTCTTCTGCTGCTGTGGAGGGCAAGGACATAGAGCCCAGGCCTTTGTCTGACTTTCTCATTCTCTTTCAACAAGCAAAACATTCATTTGCTTCCACGTGTGTTATTATTAATTACTTGCCTGCTTGCTAATGTATGGCCCAAATGATGCTCTCTTTGAAATGCCTTGAATAAGTCCAGCAATCTAGATTTTGGATGCTTGATGCCAAAGCATCCAATGAGATAAAAACGAGGCTAAGGTCTCAACTTCTAGCTAAAAGCTAGAGAAAAAAAGTTAGTTATTTTGTCAGTGGTGGGTACCAATCCCCATGCCCCCTGCCCTGATTCATTTTAAGGAGATTTAATTTTTTAAAGGCACACTTAAAGGTTCAGGAAAAAAAAGCATGTTTTGGTAAGGAGGGGAAAACTGAAGTTGATGAATGTCTATGTGAAGGAGTTTCACTGGGCCTAAGAAGGTTTGGTTTTACAAAAGTAAAAAACAAAAGTCAGGGGTATTTTGGGGACTTGGTTTTCTAGCAAGGTAAGGAGAAGTAGACAGGTACTTGTGATAGCATAACACTGAGCTAACCGTCCCTATAAGTAGAATATTATTCTACGACTAGATAGAAGGACATGACAAGTGGAAAAAAAAATAATCCTGCCAATTCTTCTTAGGTTTTAAACCAGTTGGGAGCTGGAAATAACACTGCTGGGGCACTCCTTAAAGAGGACAACCAGCAGTCAAGTCAAGGAAAATTTAACAATATATAGTGTCACTTTTGACAAGAAGATGAAGTCGTGGCTTAAAACTTAGATATTAAGAGCTTATTTATTGCTTACAGATTAGTTCTGAAAATCAGGTCGTTCCAATTCCTGGCTGTGTCATGAATATATTGCACATCCTTGAGAGAGTCACTTAACTTGTACATGCTTCATCTAACAGAGAATCTAACCCAATATTTTTTTTAAACCAGCACTCAAGTCAAAGTTGATCCAAATTAACAAATATCTGTTTTGACTCCTTCTTAAAACTTGAAGAGCTAGAAATAGAGACTGTCCCTCTGCCATAAAAGTTGGAAAGAACTGGACTTTGTAAGGTTTCTTTAATTCTTGGGGTGCTGAAAGCACATTTTGTGTATCAGTTCTTTTACTGTGTTTTATACCTTTTTACCTTGTGACTGGATTTAAGCATCACACATATCTTCAAAGCAAGATATTACTGGACAGTATTCTAGTAAAAGGAGGAATAGCATCAAAGGCAAAGCATCGGCCTCAAGCTTAGATCTTAAGAGTTTTTGTCTTAACCTCTTCTTAGTTTTTCAGTTCTGTGGACTACTGGATGAATATGCCAATTATTACCTGTGATCACTTTTATTTTCTGTCCTTACTAACTACTGTGTACTGAAGATTAAATATCAGTAGCGTTTACAGACACCATGTGTTTGCAACATAGAGAAGGATGTGCTGCTTTAAGGATTTCACTCAGCAACTCTCATGCTCAAATCATGCTTTGAGTCAAACTTCTAGCTATGATTAACAGGCCTATGCTATAAATATACACTGCAGACTCCTTAGCAATTTCCTACCTTCTCCCTACTCTTCCAGGTACTCTGACGTTCACAAGTGCCTGGGAGACTTTTTTCTCTTCCCAGAGAAGTTTTACAAGGTTCTTTAAATTTTCTTGCTCTAAACCAGGAGAAAAACAAGAAACAAAATGCAACAAAACAAACAAAAACCCCAGTAAGAATTCAAAAGAAGGGAAGGGAACTCTGAATTATAAATACGAGTTGAAATGGTTCTACAATGCTTCATGAGATAAAGGCACATTGAATGTTGATCTGTCCCCAGGCTCAGGTCATGGATTTAAATACCCTAAATGGGCCAGGTGATGAGTGGGTCTGTGTTTCTATTGCTCACTGATCAGAAATCCTTGCCTTATCAAAAAAGCTACATGCCATCTTGGGAAAAAAAGCTTCAATTTCAAGGAACAAGTATATTCTGAGAAAAACATTCTTAAGAAATTTCCCAACTGTATCTCTTCCACAACAGCTGTTCACCAGGCCACTGTATGTATCATCATGGTAGTGAGAGACAGAAAAGGGTTTCTTTACTGAACAACTGAGGTAGAATATTACCCTACTTTATGTTTTAATAAGGGCAGAAAAACAAAATACTAGGAAAGAATGGGTGAGTTTTGTAGAGAAGTGCCTGCTGAGGGTGTTTTGAGAGTACAGGAAGTTATCAGATATTGTAGCAGGCAGTAACTCTTATTAAGACTATGGAGTCAGACAGAAATGTTGCTACTAACACCATGCTTTAGAGGACAGCTTAAAATAATACTCAAGATAGTCTTTGTGGCACTTTGAAATCATGACATTAAGCTCTGAATTATGGATGAATGCTTCTTTATTTTAGTTTAATAAAGGTATCCCACTCTTTCTCTCAGACTAGTATTAGACACAATAAAAAAGAAACAGTCTTTCCAAGATTTAATATGCTATTTGAGTTCTCTTCTGTGATCACAGTTTCTATTCTCTTTCTCATTTTTTAGCTACAGACTAATGTAAAATCTTCACACATAAAAAAGAATTTGTAGTGACACTTCTATTTATTTTTGGAAGAGTTTAGGACTCCTATATTTTATATACTTATAATGAGACTGCATATGAATTCTATTTTTTTAATTTAATTACGATGTGAATTTTTTTCGGGATGACTGAGACTACATGAATAGCAGAACTTTCATTTAGATGATTGGACCTAAAAACAGTATCATTTTAAGTGAACTAGGTAATTTGTTTCGGTTCAGAAAGAGAAAGAAAATATAAAGTAACTCTATGTCGGCAGTCTGAGAAGTCCTCTGGAAGTGTAAACCTGAATTAAAGGCCATGAATCCAGGAATATTTGAATACTTTATAGGACTATTCCAACAGAAGAGATTAAGGGAGAACTATCTAAAAATATACTCTCCCAAATATTTGGTTCACAGTCCTATCTCCATGCAAATAAAGAGAAGGAAGAAATCCTCCTTCCTTTGTCTCAGCTCTATGACAAATATTTGGACTCTTGGACACTAAAAACTTCTACCATTTAAAAAAAAATAGGTACTTTCTCTTACTAGGAACAATATGACATTGTTATCTTAAAAGTGAGCTTAAGATACTGTTCTGCCATATAGACTCACCTTTACCATGCTACAATGTCTGTTAGAGAGGAGTGCAAAAAATCTCATCTGGGGAATTAAATCACTATGCACTTTATCAGTAAAATTATGGATACAGATTTACATGATTTTAGCATTTCACTGAAACATCAACAACCATTTAAGTAGCTCCTAACATCCTTTCTTGGAAGGAAAGTACCTTAAACTTTTATAAAAATTGTCACAATGACTTACACCCTCTTTGAAGTAGAAATGGATCTGAAAAGTAATGCTGCTTTGCCTTCAGTTCAGAATTCAATATAGAGTCCATTCTCCTCCTTCCACAGAACTTCTGTACTTTGCATGCGGCTGGGGGAGAGATCAGGATATAATTTAAAACTGACAGAACTGTCCCATGTGTCCATAAAATCCACTGCTGCTGCCCAAGGACGGGAGGAAAAAAAATCTTCTGGGAAGGACCATTCTTTCAGTTCCAGTGTTACCAACAGCTACATGACCTTCCTGAGCAGTGGTTCAGCCAGAATTTGAATCCTAAAACTATTCCCACATTAGGCTATAGGCAGTGCCAGAGCATTACATGAGCGAGGCATTTCAGCTCCATCATAATTTTACCCAAGGGACTGAATTCCAGAGGCACAGCAATATATGTGTGAAAACCTGGTAATACAATACCTTCCCTAGATGAAAGCACAGGCAGAGAAATATAAGGTAGGCTTGCACTGCTACGCCTCTGAACATAATAAGACTTTGGCTATGTTTTCTTCCAAATTGACCCAGAAATGCAAGCATTCAAAGTGAATAGTTATGCTAAATGGTGAGGAAATCTTTACACAAAGTGTTTTCATTCATCTAACTTCTGTGAATTATATTCTGGAAATGCCTCTGTCCCCCTGTTTAGTGTAAACACCTAACTTATGCCTACCTTAGGTTTTTAACAAGGATGTTATTCAGAACAACTACATTAGACTGCATGAATATTTCCCATGGGGTCAAAATCCAAAAGACAACTTTAAAAACTTTGGTTGCTAAGACTGTATATTCATCAAATGAATTTTAATTACACGGAGTAAGGCAAATTATATTTTGTAATGCAGTGTACAATCCTAAAATAAATCTGTGAATGAAAATATCCAAATGCAAACACAGGTTGATGTAACTCAGAACATCCTAATTGCTCTTGGAAACAGGAGTCTCATAAAGTACGTATAAACTGTGTCATCTTGACAAAGAGCACCCCTGCATCCTGGAGTTTTCTACAGAGTTTGTTTTAAGTTTATGCTAAAATAAAAACGAACTATTTTCAAGGCCACAACAGACAGTTAGATGTCTAACTCCAGGCAAAGTCAACACCTGAGACAGTACATTGTACTAAAACATTGGGAAGATTTCCAAAGACTCTAAAAAGAGAGGCAGAATTCAACCACTGATAGATAAGTGCAGTTTTGTAACCCATGTAAGACAATTCAAGATTGTTCTTCTGCCAAAAAGGCTATTCCTGACTTCCCACCACCTCATGACCATATATTTTATTGTATCTTTCTTGAACTGGAATGAAGAAAAGCACAAACTTTTTACTATTTTTGTAGGATTATTTTTCTCTTTGTCTGAGGTAAAGAGAAGAATGAGTATGTGGAGGAAGGCAGAAGTTGAACAGCACAGAAAAGGTGCAAATTGTAGTGACAACTTACATTTAGAGATCAAAATTCCTATGCCACTTCAGCCTAGTTAGCTCTTCAGAGGCACTGTTAAGTATATATTAGATATATAAATTAGATAATAAGCAAATATAGTATCTGTTAGATATACTTGAAGCTTTCTAGCTATTTTAAGACAATACAGACACAGCTATGTAAATACTTGGAATTTAATCCTTAGAAATACATCTTCTCAACAGAGACATATGGCATTTGCTAAAATTCAAAGCAAATGTGTTTTCCAAATCACTTAGACCCAAATCAATGGAGAAAAACAAAAAAACCTACCCCATAGTTCTTAAAAATTTCCTTTTGATTTTTTACCTTATTCTGCAAGGCATGACAATACTCAGATTATTGTCTTACAGGACATCTCTCTCATAATCTTACAAATTAAGTTGAAAAGTAAAACTTATTATTTTCAAAACAAGCATATTCATTTTCAGTTCAAACTGTCCTAAATTTTTATTTCTTTCAATAATAATTTTAAAGGTATATTTCACAGGGGAAAAAAACCAAACTGAAGAAATATTTTAAAAAATAAGTTTTTTTAACTCCAAACAGCATTTTTGCTTCCCCACACTTCTTATTCAGAACTGCAAGTTCACCAGAGCAAAAGAACAGCCTCTTTTCCCACAAAACTTCAGCCTAAGGACATTTGTATAGAATACAGTATTTCAAACAATTTCAAACACAGTTCAGACCTTTCAGTGACAGGCTGAGAAAATTAGGATTGTTCAGGCTGGAGAACAGAAGGTTGCACAGAGACCTCATAGCAACCTCCCAGTATCTGAAGTGGAAGCCAGAAAAGGACTTTTCTCCAGGAACTGTAGTGATAAGACAAAGAGTAATGTGTACAAACTGAAAAAGGGAAAATTTAGTTATATAGGAACATTTCACAAAAATTTATATTAATAATTTTGCTATTAGGAAGAAATTCTTTATTGAGAGGGTCCTGAGGCACTGGGAAAGGCTGCCCAGAGAGGTTGTGGATGCTCCAACCCTGGCAGTGTTCAAACCAGGGTGGATAAGGCCATGAGCAGCCTGGTCTAGTGGGAGGTGTCCCTGCTCCTGGCAGGGGGCACTAGGACTAGATGATCTGTAAGGTACCTTAACATTCTATGAACCTACCATGATTCTAAAAAGGCAACCAAATTTTAAGGAGTTTTCTTAAAAAAATAAATGGTCACAAGTCTTCGTTCCCTGAAGAAAGTGTGTATGTTTAATTGACTGCTGCTTCAAGTGCCTCTGTCCTGCCTAATTTTAAACCTAAAACTCCATTTCATATACCTTAAATGAAGCTCAGATAAAGATAACTTTCTCCTGACTTACTAGACAGCCTGGGAAATGTTTATTAATAACGACTAGGAATTAAATTTTTATGTAAAAACCATTACAGTGTCTAAATAGAACATATCCACTGCTAAAAAAATTGCAATATAGCTTTTATAAGCAACTTATATTTTCAGAAAGAAGTGGGAAGAAAGCAAAAAAGGTTTGTTTCTGGTTTATCATGATGTACAAGATCCCCAGTGATACCTGTTCTCTTTCCAGGAAGGCAGGCATTGGATTATAGCAACAGAGCAGTATCAACCCAATCTGATGCTCCTTGAAAAACGAGTATTATAAGGATCTCTGGGAATACAGTTTTCATGATTCACTTCCAGGGACACTGCTGGAGATTACACAAGGGGAGGTTCAGCAGCATTCACTGTACAGGCACCAACATTTGCAGAGGGGTAATCAAGCCCAGAGCCTGTTCTTGTACTGTGGTGTTTCTTGGCCAGGAGAAACCACAAAATACCCACACTCACACATGGATTTGTTTCCAGACCACAGAAGTTGAAATAGCATTTAGAAAATATTTTGAAGGAAAACAAGTGAACTTCTAATGATAAACAACTTCTGTGAGACTCTCTATATTTATTCCACTCAGGGTCTACCACCCTGCAAAGGTCACAGTGGGAGCCCAGCTCTGCTCGGTGTCTCCAACAACAGCTCAGCAAGGTTTTGGCTGGCCTCCCTCCCTCTGCCCTTAGTCATCCTGCAGGCTGGGGAGGCATGCTCTGCATGGTGAAGGAGCAAGCTCATGCTAATGAACCCTCCTTATAATGCAGCTCCTGTGCCTAATTCATCAGGTACTTTGGAGAGAGCCACCAGCTCATCAGCAGCCACACGGGGAATGTTTTAGCTCAAGGCTGGTGTATGCTCTCTTTTGGTGCACCACTGTGGTTAAAGAGACTGAGTAGATAAGTATATGTTGATAGATTAAATATTACGAGCACCTCACCTTACTGCTTACTGGACTCTTTTCCCAATATTAACAAAATTAAAGCAAAACAAAGTGAAAGCGAAAAAAAGAAAAACAAACAAAAACAACAAAGAGGAGATTTGAAATAATTCCAAGTCCTGAATAGAATACTTTTAGGAAAAATATTGACTCTTTATATATACATATTATTTTTTTCAATGCATTTAAGACAATGAGAGATATCCCGAACCCTTTCTTACTTTTCTGAAAGGTTTTGAGTACACTATCATTGTGATTTCATATGCAGATATCCAATACCTTCTACCTATCCTATTCTTCTTTCTACCCAGTACCTGCCAGTTTGCTGTCTGCTATGCCTTCCTCTGGGTTTTTTTGTAAGGAAATTCTCACCATCAGCAACAGGCTGGGGGTGCCGCCAAATGCAGATACATGTGCACATAGACACAGAAAGAACAAATTTTCCGTCAGTTCTCCTTCACTTATTGGCTTTAGACCTTGCACAGCACTATAGTACAGTAGCCCTTGAATCTTCACATTCAATTTTGGAGGTTTAAACTCTTCATTTGGTGATTCAGTCTCTTTCCTCTCAGGAATAGAAAAATTTAGTATGTGTTCTCTGGAAAAATAAAAGATGTTAAAGCACAAATGGGCAATCTAATCTGACTGGGAGTGAAAACAATCTCTGCCTAGAAAAAAAAATTAAAATTATACCAGTTCTATGTCTTGCAGATTCTTCAATGACTCTTTGAACTGCCGTAAGAAACTTTGGATTTACATTTGGCTTTTGCAGTTCAACAAAAGCCTTATTTAAAAAAAAAAAAAAGTGAATAAAACCAAGCCTAAATTTGCAAAATAATATCTCTGTCCTGCAAAAGAAAGAACCACCCCCAGCCCTCACAACGCAACATCAACTTTACCTGTAAGCATTGCATTAGGTATTTGATTCTTTACTTCTTCTTGAAATGGTCATATTCCTTAATAGATTAATATACCCTTTGTTGCTGTTGTGGCTTTCTAGCACAGTATGGCCACAGCTTTTCTGGGGAGCAGCTTAAGGATGCACACTTCTGTCAGGGTGCAGAGCAACCTCTGATGTTCATACTTTAGCTGTTTAGCACTGATGGACGAGGGAAGTTTCAAGGTCAAAAATACTCCTAGCTTGCTGTCCCTCCTCAGTAGGAAAGTGGATTTGTAAAGTGCTTATCCTGAGATGGACAGGAGTTTTTGAACCTGCCAGTCCTGTTTGTGTATGTAAGGTAATTATACATAACCATGTACGTGTATGCGTGATTTATGACTTCCTATGTGAAAATATTTTTACTCCTTTCTGGCAGTGCAATAATTTCAAGTTTTCAGTTTGCTAAAGCACCCGAAGACCAACCTTACAGAGAATCAGATCCCACTGCTGAGCCATGATCCAACTTGGGTTTCTAAAGACGGATGATGTGAGCAGGGATATTCACTGTCCTTTCAGAAATTCACTCAGGCTACTTTGGGGTCCTGGTATCCAACCTGACCTGCCTGTTTTTTCCACTTATTGAGCAGTGTCTGACCTTTCACTGGTCTGAAATCTACTGGGAAGGCATGACGATTTAATTGATAGCTTTGCAAAGTTTCCCTGAAGTCAAAGGAACAAGACCCTCTGGTTAGCTCTAGATGTCTGAAATAAAAACCAAAAATACATACTCACAGTCCTTTGAAAACTGAAGATTCATAGTCCAGTTTTCATTTTGGAGGGTTTTGGATTTGGGGCACTAAAAACCCAAGTGGTTTTCAAACCACTATTTGTACAAAATTAAACAACTGGTTTCTGACAGATTTTAATTGTAATCCTTCTTTATTGTTCAGCAGGACCTAGTAACTATTGATTTATAAGAATTTTGTTTGTTGTCTTTGTTTCACTGCAAAGTTTACGTTATGCTGTGTTGTCTGTAGTTTAAAAACCTTGGTCATAACTATAAATGCAGGAATCTTCAGGAAGGTATTTCTGAAGAAGTACAAGAATATAAGGCCCTAAAAAGAAAATCTTTTACTAGGTTTATATCTCATAGGCCTCTCTCAATATGGTCTTTAAAACCTGAAATAACTTCATATAAATTTATCTGCAGAACATCCAAGCAGAAGCACAACTGTTTGCAAAAGTTGAGGAAAAGCATTTAAGTCTACTTGGCATCATTTCAGTTCTTTATAAATCTATTACACAAAAAAAATCTTAGCTCCAGGGAGCTAAGCTATTGTACCTGAACTGGAAGGTCTGACCCAGATATGGATTGTACCTATTATGTAGAGACCATCAATTGACAAACATTTGAAAGTGTTCAGAGTACCAACACGAATAATATAAAAAAGAAATCCATTGGCACAAAAACATGTCATAAAACACCTGAGATACAACAAAGAAGCTAGTGCTTGTTCTTTGTGAACAGACATTTTCAAGTGTTTTACAGTTTTTAGTTTGTTTTGTTAACAAGTTTAGTAGAATTTAAAAAACCTCAAAAAACACCTGGTTCTTAGAAAAGTGCTTCTTTTAAAGAAAATCTTAAAAGTTATGCAATGATTCTGGGCATGTGATCTGGGATTGTGAACACCCACAGCACTCACAAGAATTTGGGGGAGAGGGATAAAGAGGATTTCTTTATTCTTTTTAAGTAATTCAGCTTGAGTGCATTTCAGACAATGGTGCCCTGTGGAAACCAGATCTACAGGAAAATTAGACAGAGTGTCAAGGAGATCTTGGAGATGTGAGCTAAGGAGGAAGAACCAATGTTCTTTGACAATCAGATTTGGAAAATGGAGATCAACCTGCAAGCGAAGGTAACTGATATTTTTTTTTTACATGTGCAAATCAGAAGCTCACATCATTATCAGAATCCACATGCTCTGATCCCCATGCCCAAAATAAACCAGGTGTTCTGCTTCATACATGGACCTATTGTTAGTGCTGCAGTCCTTGTGCTTACTTTGAACTTTGTGCATCAGCCGGGGTCATACTAAAATGAAACATTCTTCTTCATTTCTTTCAATTCAGGATAGAGTTAAATGAATCAGGGGAGTTTTTCCATTGATTTCTGTAGGATTGTGTTTAATACCTAAAACACCCCAGATTTTTTGTTGTGGTGTATAAAGCGACTTAAGGTAAAAAATACCCCTTTTTGATGATACTAGAGCCATTCTTTAAAATAATAGAAGACAACTAAAATTCTCTGAATTTTCTCCTGTGTAGCATCCTTGGCTGCAGTCTAGAGCAGAGCAAGAGCTGTGTGCTTTCTATGCGAGTGCAATATCCAGTACTACAAATGTTCAGCTTAGAACTGTCAAGCCACACATAAAATATTGATACCTCACATTGGCAGGGTTAATACAGTGTTATTTTAATTGCAAACACACTGTGGGTGATTAGTCAAACTTGGTGTGTCTTGAATTCTAAGATAAAAATGCCTTCTGGCTGGACCTCCTATGCAATTAGCACTATGACCCTCATGTGCTCTTCTCTGTTATTAATATGATTGGTCTAATATGAGTATTAGACATCATTCATTAACCTGTTGTGAACCATCTTAAAAACCATCTCTGAATAATAGACTACATTCCTTTTTCTAAATCCATTTACAAGTAAGGAAAGTGAAAAGGATGAAGACAAGCTTTCGTTATTACATTGACTGGTATAGTGTTAAGCAATATGTACTGTATGAAATTATGAAAGAGAAAATTAAATAACAGGGCATATCTGGCTTATTAGTAATGGATGATCAGGTGCTCATTCTGTTGAATTTCCATTCTGTTCAGAAGATGAATGTACACGCCAGAACAGAAATATTTTAACTGACCCTGTCTGAAGATAAACTAATGCACATCTGGAAGTTCACTGTTTTGCCAGCTTCTTTCTTTCTTTCTTT